AATCCCCCGCCCAGACCACGACCCTCAGGAACCGAGACCCTCCGGAACCGAGACCCTCCAGAACCGAGACCCTCAGGCGCCGAGACCCTCACGCACCGAGACCCTCAGGAACCAAGACTCTCAGGCACCGAGACCCTCAGGCACCGAGACCCTCACGCCCGCTGCCTTAGGTGGCTAAGGGCTAGGGTGGCTTGGTCTGTGGCTGTGGATGACGCGCATGGTGTGGCAGCAGGGACGTGTGCTGGGGAAATTCAGGAGCTGTTCCCAGAACGCGGTTTGGGTCCCGAAGCAGCGGCCAGCCTTGTGCCCGCCACCTGTCCCAGAGCCACAATGGAGGACTCCCGGGGCCGACACTGGAAGCAGGGGCTGTGCTCTCCAAGCTGCCCCTCGCACACACCCGTGGCCCACAGAGCGACAGACATGAACGCAGGATGCGGAAGGATGCCACTGCCAGATGCGAGGCGGCTGCAGCACGCAGACAAATCCTGATGGGCCAGATCAGACCTGCCAGGGACACAGCACCCCCAGCCTACACAGCGAGCAAACACGGAGGGGGAACGCTCTCCTAACAGTGGAAAGCCAACTAATAGGAAGGGATGGTGGAACTGGAAAGTCACCCCTTAGAAGCCATCACAGCAGGAATTAATTCTGGCAAGAAACACGGAGGGATGCCGTGCTCGTGTGAAAAGGGACATGGAGCAGGATTTCCCAGCCTCAAAGCTTCTCCCCACAAGCTACACATCAGTTTCCAAGGGAACGGCGTTGCTGCGCTGAAGAAGCGGGCGGCCCCACGGCGGGTCTGGCAGCCATTACGTGTCCCACGAGAGGACACCCAGGGGACTGGTCATCACCCCCAGAGGCATCAAGCACAGTCACAGTGCGGGACAGCTCCTGGTCTGCGATCCTCAGAACTGCAAGGTCCGCCTGTCACAGAAGTACCAAGGCTCCCCCTGACTGGGGCGGGTTGAGGGGTCACCCTGGACACAACGCCCACATGGGCTCTGGGGACGGCTCCGGGCACGGCTCCGGGCACAGGGCCGCAGGGCACAGGGGGTCTTGCTGCCATTTTGCAGCTCTTCTGTAAGTTTGGAATTGTTTCAAAATAAAACTTTATTTATTTATTTATTTATTTATTTATTTATTTTCTGAGACAGAGTCTCACTCTGTGGCCCAGGCTGGAGTGAGTGGCGCGATCTCGGCTCACTGCAAGCTCCGCCTCCCGGTTCATGCCATTCTCCTGCCTCAGCCTCCCAAGAGAGGTAGCTGGGACTACCTGCGCCCGCCACCATGCCCGGCTAATTTTTTGTATTTTCAGTAGAGACGGGTTTCACTGTGTTAGCCAGGACGGTCTCGATCTCCTGACCTTGTGATCTGCCCGCCTTGGCCTCCCAAAGTGCCAGGATGACAAGAGTGAGCCACCGCACCCGGCCCTTTTTTTTTTTTAA